ACCCAAAGAAAGGTCCTAGCCACAAAGGATATCTCTATACAGGACAACATAAATATCCTTTCCTGACAAATTTATCTGTTAATTGGTTGGTTTGGGGTTTTCTGTTTTGGGGTGATGGGGTTGCGATCATAAAAGATGCATTAAATGCTAAATCATTTTTTCCTTCTATCTTAAGCTGAAATTGAATTTCAATAAAGTGGTTCCTTTAGCAGCTGGAGTTATCACCAGAGAAAATTGGGCACGGGGAGGGGAGGAGGAACTTTCCCCAGTCTAGAATGCTCGAAACTCAGAAGTGTCTTTGAAACGATTGTTTGAAGAAAAAAGCCAGTTGTTTCCTTATTGGAGGAAGTTGGGTGGTGCAGTGGGCAGAGAGAGGACCTTGGAGTCAGGAGGACCTTAATTGGATTCCTGCCTTTGACTCTTACTAGTTATATGATCCTGGGCATATCATGCAATGTCTCCAGTTTCCTCATCTGTAAAATGGGGATGATAATAGCACCTAGTCCCTTTTGTGGATTGTTTTAAGGATCAAAGGGGCTAATATATGTTAAGATCTTTGCCAACCTTAAAGCATTGTGTTATTGTTGAGTAGTGTCAGACTCTAAGTTGACCCCCATTGACATCGTCCAGGGGATTTTCTTGGCAAAGATAATGGAGTTGTTTGCCATTTCCTTCTCCAGTGTGTCCCCATTTCACAGGTGAGGAACTGAGGTAAATAGGAGTGAAGTGATTTGCCCAGAGTCATACAGCTAGAAAGTGTCTGAGGCTAGATCTGAACTCTGGTCTTCCTGACTCAAGGCTCAGTGCTTTATTCACTGTACCACCCAGCTGTCCCTTTAAAGCATTGTATAAGAGCTAAATATTTCAAAGCATTTTAAAATATTGATCCGACAAAAACAGATCAGATCTTCACACAGGACATCTTCTGTGGCAACAGTGACCAGCTTTGATGGGGACATATATCTCCTTGAGGTCCAGAGAGGTTCATTAACTGTACCCAAGGTTGCAGAGGTAGAAGAGTCTGGATTCAGACACCGATACTGACTTCAAATCCTTCACATTTTCCCCCAAGGCCACACTTAGAGATTGTCTGATCTAACACCCTCAGATCTTAAGATGAGAAAACAGGCCCAGAAGAGAAATTGCATGACTTGGGTGTGTCCCTCCATTTCTCTGTGCCAAGAGCTTTACTATTATTATCTCATTTGATTTGATCCTTACAAGAACCCTGAGAGGTAGCTGCTATTATTATCCCATTGTAGAGATGAGACAAGGGAAGGTTAAGTACTTTCCCAGGGTCACACAGCTAGTAAGTGTCTGAGCCCAGATCTGAACTCAGGTCTTCCTGACTGCACTGTGTCGCCGAGCTGCCATCAGTTTCCTTCTCTGTAAAATAAAGTAATTGGGCTCAATGGCCTGTAAGTCCTCTTCCAAATCTGTATTGCTGTACAAGATTTGTCCAAGGTCACACAGCCACTAAATGGAAGAACCTGAATTGAAATAACCTCAATAACCCACACATTCTATGATATTCTTTACAGCTCAGAGCTTGGCACAACTTTGCATTTTCATAGAATAATTGATTCGGGAGCAGCTAGGTGGCACAGTAGACAGAGCGCTGGGCTTGGCCAAAAAAAAAAAAAAAGGAAATGGCAAACCACTCGAGTATCTTTGCCAAGAAAACCCCAAATGGGGTCACAGAGAGTCAGATACAACAAAACAACAAGAAACAGATCTAGAACTGTGAGGGACTTCAGAGACTATCCCTTCCAACCCCCTCATTTTACAAATGAGGAAACTGAGGCCCAGGGAGGTGTGAAGCAACTTGGCCAAAGTCACATGGGTAATAAGCATTGTTGGCAGGTTTTGAACCCAGTTCTTCTGACTCCAGAGCCAGAGCTCATTCTACCGCAGCATCAAGATTCACACCATTGTTCTGAATCAGTGGGTCATTGGGATAGTTCATTTGGAAGTTCATTCCACAGCTATCCCACTGCTAAATTAAGTGGAAATTATGATTTGCTTTTGCTATGCCTTTGCTAGCAGCCTTATCGTCTCCCACACACCCAGTGACTAATGACTGGTGCCACAGAGGATGAATCCCTGCCCAAAGGCACAGACATTTAAATGTAAATGCTTCCTGGGGACTGCAAACTGAAACCATGGCCTTATGCGGCCAAGAGCCTGTCACTTTGCATTCTGGAATGATTTTCATATAAATAATAAAAGGACAAAGACACAATGTAATTGGTCGGGGTTATTGTTGTTATTTCTCATCTCCTTAAACTGTTATTGACAATCTCTGGAGATTGTCATCTCTGGAGACGGAATGTAAACTCTGAGAAACAAAGTAAACATCTTTCAGTGGAGTAAAAAGTAGAAGGGAAATTGGGATCAAGTTGATTTGAATTGTATCCAGTTCAACCCCTTCCTGCCTACACGACCTTGAGCAAATCCCTTCTGCTAGCTAGGATTCAATTGTTTTGGGGGTTTTTTTCTCATCTGTAAAATAATGCATGGAGTAGGACACCTAAAGTCTCTTCAGGCTCTAACACAACTAGACTATGATTCTATAATCTCTGACATTTAATGGGATTGAATACTAGCTGCTTAAGTATTGCCTTCTAGGAGAATAGAAGGACTTTCCTTAAGCTTTCTAAGTAATTTACCAAGGATTCCCGAAAAAACGCACATGAGATTTAGCTCCTACAATCTACGTGTGTTCCACAATTTGGGCTGAGGGGTTGTTTTCAACCAACTCTTTTTGCTTTCCTTCTTAGTAAATCTTTTTTTTCCCTAAAAGCTAATGAAGTTCAACTGGTTGATTGATAATGGGAAGCACACTGGTCGGGGCTCATGAGCAATACTATAGTACTATTATAGTACTATAGTACTATAAACCCTATCCCGCTGGAGTAACCTCTAGAACCTTATGAGAAGAAGTAAGCTATACCATCTGAGGACCACAGCCTGTGAGTGTAAGTTCTAGTTGGGGATATTTCCTCAGAATGAGTATTATATAAGGAGCTTCTAGTGAAGAAATGCTACCCAACAGTGCAGGTCAGCACAATTTCTGCAACTGCTAGCTTTAGAGAATTGCCTAAAACACTGAAAGATGAAGTGATCTGCCCAGGTCTGCAGAACCAGTACGTGACAGTGGCCACATCTGAACCCAGGCTTCCTGACTCTGAGGCCAGTTTTCTAACCATTATACCACACTTTCCCTCAATGTTCTTTAATAAAACATTTTAATTTTTAAAAAATATCAAACTTACTCATCATCAAAAGTTCCAACTAACTTCTCAAAATCTGATTTTCAATGTATCGTTGATGCAAACATTTTTATCAATCTGATAAGTATTGCAGAAGATAGCCTGGACTATTGCTCTAGCATCCTGGCTGGACTGATCTAATCTATCATATCGTTATTGTTGTTTGACTGTTTCAGTCATGTCTGACTCTTCCTGACACCAGTTAGGATTTCCTTGGCAAAGATACTGGAGTGGTTTGCCATTTCCTTCTCCAGCTCATTTGACAGATGAGGAAACTGAAGCAAGCAGGAGTGAAGTGACTTGCCCAAGGTCACACAGCTAGTAAGTGTCTGAGGCCAGATTTGAACTCAGGAAGATGAGTCTTCCTGACTCCAAGCCCAGTGCTCTCTGCACCGTGGTGCCACGTAGCGGCCCTATCTATCATACATTTGACGACAAAAACTCTCCAAGCAATATTTTGATCAGTTAAATCCCTTGGTTAAAAAAAATGTCCTAAGTACCTTTTAAATCAAATTTTAAACTATGTTATTTATTTTTATGATGACTCACACTGTTTTTAACTGCCCATAACTCATTTCATATCTGAGGTCATGTGTTCTATTCAAATAAAGGAAGCTGGCTCATGACACCATGTTCTCCAATGACTAACTCACATGAACTTAATCCCCGTGTGAGGGATGCTCTCCACTTCTTATCTCTTAAATCATGTCTCACCTCTCAGTGGAGCCTCTTTTCCCGGAGATCTCAGCATCTGCCACACACGTATAGCTGGGGTTTTGGAGCTGGATTTTGCATAGATTTACATTTAAACATCAACAGTTATTTGTCAGTGACTCATCAAGTTTGAGAGACCTCTGCTCAGAGTTGTGCATGACAACAAGAGCTTACATTATGATTTTTATGATCAGGGAGCTTATTATCTAGCTAGGAAGGTGTGACATGTGCAAGCGAAAACAACAGTAAAAGGGAGAATGTGGTTAAGAATCAAATGAGACATACAGAAATTAATTTGGGGGGAGGGGCACATTCAGATTACTTTGACCAGATCGGTCTCACACTTCCTCTATCAATGCAAATCAAATCAAAAATTTCTCTGTAACTAATAGACTTAGAGGTGGGAAGAGGTGGGGCGGGGCAGGGAGACTGAGAAGCAGTGACTTGGCCAAGGCTCACAGTCAATATATATCAGCAGTGGAATATGGCCTTCCTGATACCAAGGACAGTTGTCTCTCTACACCTACGCTAATTGTAAGCCCTGCATGAATCACCACTTGATGTATTTACTGGATCATTGTCACCAATTGTCAACCTGTGTTCATCTTGGTTAAGTGATTTGTTTACTCCAATTTTTAAGAAGCAGGGGGGTTTTAAACTCTTAACTGCTAGCACAAGGAACTAACAGTCGCCTTGAGAACAGAAGTGCCAAGACAGGCAGACACAATACACCAGTTAGTGAGCCATTATACGTGTACTCACTCTCAGATGATAAAATTCCTTTCAATAGCTCTGTATCCACCTGTCATCAGGTCTTTCCATTAAATATTATTAGTGTTTTATTATGTCTTTCCTCAGAATTGTTTATCAAGAGCATTGTGGTTTTTTTCAATGACTTCAATTTCCTTGCATATTTTAAATTTCTTTTAAGTTCATTGTCTTTCCTTGGGGTTTTATTCCGTCAATAATTTAGTCTTTCATTCTTATCCCACCTTAATACTCTCCACTTCCAAAAAAAAATAAGAGCCCAACATACCAAATTCTGACAAGATGTATATGTATATATGTAAAATATATTTGTATTATTATGTATTATTGAAGTATGTAACATATTTTATATAGTCTACAGGTACTAACTTCATTGAAATTCACAGGAGGGAAACTTTCTTCCTCCTTCTGACTCCTGCTTTCTCCCAGAGATGCCAGAGCACAGTTTTTCCCACGCAATTGAGAAGCTTTGTAAGAGGTTTCTTCTCAGAACCGGGAATCCATTTTTTCCTTCTCAAACTGGGATATCTCTTTTAGAAATGCTTTTTCTCAGGTTTCATCAGTCTCCAAGTTCACTCACAATGACCTTGATTTATTGCTGTGGACATATAAGAAGACAGTCTTACAGATAATAATTGATCCCACTTGCCCACAGATTCACCAGCATAAAAGTCCCGGTGATGAATCTGGAACCATACGGACAGTAAAATTGATAAACGTAATCTTTGCCCAATAAGTTCACAATCACCACTCAACAAAAACAACAAAAAATTATCAAATAGTTCAATTAATCAATATGCATGTATCAAGCACTTACTATGTGTCAGATTCTGTCCGAGGTTGTGGGGATACAGAAGTGAAAAATGGTCCTGCCTTCACAGGGTTTACATTCAATTTATAACATAGAATACGCACCACATAGCAATCGACAAATGTTTTTTGCATGCCTACTGTCTGCCAGGCTCTTTGCTAAGCACCGGGATACGAAGACAAAAATGAAATAGTCCTGCCCTCAAGGGGCTTACCTTCTGTATAGGAGATACAACACCTAGCAGAGAATGGTGGCCAGGGAAGGAAGCTTTGGTCTAGGCAGTCACAAAGTCTGTGAAGTCTCTGTGGAGCCATCGGCAAAAATTTGTCCCGCCTTTTCTAGTAACAATGGTAATATTAATTGGATTACTGTTCCCTGGGCAAGAGGTGAAAGGAGGCAGAGTGCTAGCAGTCCTGAGGCAGCAATGCATATGGAAGATGCCTGCACATAATTATAGGATTAAAGACAAATTTTATGGAAAATAATTTGTAATTATCCTAGAAAAGTCATTAAACAGCATAGGTCCTTTGACTCAGCAATGCACTCTAAACAGATTGATAGAGGGAAAATTCCCATAAACAAAAAAATATGTTTTTAGGAATCTTTTTTTTTTTTGAGGTAGCAAAGAATGGAGAATAGAGGATGCTCATCAGTTCTGGAATAATTCAACAACTTGTGGTATATGGCTGTAATGTGACATTATAGCATCACAAGAAATGATGAATATAAAAGTTTCAGAGAAACTGGGAAAGACCTGAATGAATTAATGCAGGACGAGGCAAACAGAGCTACAACAATTGACATGATAAACAGAGCAATGTCGAGAAAACAACGCTGAGAAACTTGAGAACTGTGACCAGGAAATGTAGTGACCAACCGGGACTTCACCAGGCTGGAAATGAAGCGTGTCTTTCACCTTTTGACAGAAAGGGTGACCAACTAAGGGCGCAGAATGAGTCATCTGTTGTCAGAAGTAGCCACTGTGTTTATTTGTTTTTGCTTGGTTTCTCTTTTCTGTTACCCTGGAGAGTTCAATGAGGGAAAATAAAGAATATCAAAACATTCCAAATAGAGCAAATTATGAGTTTTAAGTGCTAGAAGATTTCAGATGAAGGAAGAATCAATTAACCTGGACTGAAGTGGTCAAAGAATCCTTCCCATATTTGAGGCAAGCCTTGGGGGATAGATGGGGTTTAGAGAGGCAGACAGGAAGGGGAAAAACCCATCCCAGTATAACAGGTGACAGAAAGTCCCTAAATGCCTTCATTATACCACATTGGGGCAAGCAGTGTGAGCAGAGGTTCAAAGCAGAAATGAACAAGGCATGCCAAGAAAAGCACTGGGTGATATGGAGACAGAAAGAAATGCCAAAAGGATCCTGGATTCTGACCTTAGAGGCACCGAGGTAGTGCAGTGGACAGCGTGCTAAACCTGACGTCAGGAAGACCTGCGTTCAAATGCTACCTCAGATGCCTACTGTGTGACCCTGGGCAAGTCACTTAATCTCTCTTAGCCTCAGTTTCTTCATCTGGATAATGGGAATATTAATAGAACCTACCTACCAGGGTTACTCTGAGGATAAAGTAAGAGCATGTTTGAAAAGGGCTTCGTAAACCTTAAAGTTCCATATAAAATGCTAGCTATTATTGGTTCTAGGCTAGAAGGAATCTCATCCAAACTCTTCATTTTACAGATGAGAAAACTGAGGCCTGGAGGGGACCACATACTCAGAGGTGGAAAGGACCTCAGAATCCATCTAACCCAACCCCCACACACACCTTTGCCAGATGAGGAAACTGACACAGGTCGGTTAAATGACTTTCCCAAAGTCATACAATACAGCTAGCAAGCATCAGAGAGGGGGTCTGGACCTGGGGCCATGGAGGCCAAAGCCAGTATTCTTTCCACTGTACCACACTGCCTGCAAGGGCATACAGATACTCAGAATGGTTCCTTAAACATCCGGTGAAAAATAGTTTCAGCTGATCCCTGCTCTTGCAAAGTGACAAGTCTCAGCATTTAAAAAGAAGGCTGGTTCTATTAGTTACTTGGCACCAGGTGGGATCCAGCAGGTAGACACAAGCATGGTTTTTTTTTCAACCCAATGGAAATTTCATTCTTCAGTCTAACCAGGTTGACAAGCTTTCTGTCATGAAGGATCTGCACAGGATGGTGGAGACATAGGAATTCAGACACCTGGGGCAAATTTATTTGGGGGTAGGAGGTTCTAAAGTATGAGAAATCTTGATCATTGTTGAGGTAGGCTGGAGACAGATCATGAGAGTTAAAGACATTGATGAAGTAGGAGGGCAGGGTATTCCAGTGTGGTAGGGATGAAGAAGACTGTGAGCCAGTTACTGAATGTACTGGAGAGAGGGAAGAGTGACCTGGAAGTGTATAGGTGCCAGCAACAAAGATGTCGCCCAGATGGAGTGAACGCTAAAGGAGGAGGGATGTGTACTGGATGATGGTGACCAAGGTCTGAAAGTGGTCATGGGAAGCAAGGAGTCACCTGACTCTTCCCCTGCACTATGCATCTGGAGCTGTGAGAGGAGCGGCCACCTTTGGAGAGGGTGCTGAAGAGATATGACGTCTTTAGGAGAGAGCTGGGTTCAGTGATCAGAAGAAGTGGGAAAGAATAGAAGAGGAAGAGACCAGATTGAGTGTTGGAAAGGACCTCAGAGATCATCTAGACCAAACCCCTCATTTTAAAGGTGAGGAAACTGAGTCCCAGAGAGGTAATGCCACTTGCCTAGGGTTACACAATTATCACAAATGGAGTCGAGATTCCAACTCAGGTCCTCTGACTGTGAAACCAGTGATCTTTTCATTATATCGTAAGTAGAGGGAAGAGTCAGAAGAGAGAAGTGGAAAGAGATGGTGGGGACCAGGGTGGTACAGGGCTGAATTGAACATGAGAGAGAAAAGAAGAGCATTGGAAGCAGCCAGAGAGGCCAGTTTGACTCTCTTAGACACAGATGGTGCAGTCAGATGATGCAGTAGGTAGAACGTCCGACCTGGAGTCAGAAAGACTCAACTTCCTGAGTTTGAATCTGACCTCAGACACTTGCTAGCCATGTGACCCTGGGCAAGTCACTTAAACTCTGTTTGCCTCAGTTTCTTCATCTGTAAAATGGGGATAATAAAAACACCCACCTTCCAGGATAGTTGTAAAGACCAAACGAGAGAATATTTGTACAGTTTCCAGAATGTTGTTGTTGTTGTTAATTAACAGGATATTGAGCCTGGAAGAGAGAAAACTTAGATGAGAATAGGATAATTATTTTCAAGTATCTGGAGTCAAAGGACCAGAGTTTGACTGCAGACACTGCCACTAACTTTTTGTGTGATTATGAGCAAATCTTTTGATCTCCCTGGGCCTCAGTTTACTCATCTGTAAAACAAAGGGCTGAACAAGATGATTTCTGGATTGGACCAGGTAACTTCAGAAGTCCTCCCCTCTTAGATTCTGTGGCTGTGAGAAAAGAAAATGGCCCAAGAAAGATGGAAGTGTTTCAAAAACAAGATGCTGATGATACAATTGCAAAGGAGGCCGGTGAAGGAAAAGACTGAGAGAGGCAGGAAAGTTAAACAGTTATGGCTAGAGATGAGCTCAAGTTTTAAAAAGCACACATACAAATAGTGGAAAGAGGGACTGAAGATCATGAATAAAAAATACAAGAGTGTGGGTAGAGAGGGTTTTCAGAGATAAAAGGTGGAGCTACTTGAATGCACTTTGACATTATCCTTAAGTTGCAATTACTTATGGTGTTTCTGGATCCAGTTCCCACGGAGAGTCAAGGGTTGAGTGTGCACATCTGAAAAATGGGCTTTGTTTCCTATATGATCCACTTTCCATTTTCATTTCCTTCCGGAATGAATAAGCCCATTGCACTTTGATTTGCCAAAACTGATACAAGTCAGCCCTTCACTTTTCCTCAGTTGTGACAGCTTCCCTGCCCTGCACATCAGGAGCTGATTACTCCAGACATTATTTCACCATCATCTCTGAGCCAACATCTGGACGTGATGAATTCTCAGATGAATTTTCATCTTTGGAATCTTTAGTTTTTCTAATTTTCTTCCTTGGCTGTGTGTAGGTCCTAGCCTAGGCAAGTAGGTGGCACAGAGGATAGAATGCTGGATTAAGAATCAAGAAGACCTGAGCTTAAATCCCATCTCTGACAGTGGGCAAGTCACTTAACTGCTCTCAGCCTCAGTTCTCTCATCTATAAAATGGGGGGAAATATAGCACCCACTTCACAGCACAAATAAGATTATGTATTAAAGTGCTTTGCAAATCGTAAAGCGTTATATAAACACTCGTTAATATTATAAAATAGAATGGGGAAAATGAACATTGATGTTATTATCTACATGAGAAACATGACACATCTCACTTTACAGAGGAGAAAAGAGAGGAGAAATGACCTGTCCAGTGGCAAAGCCAGGAGGCAAGCAGAACTCTCCCAGCGGCCAGCTCTTTTTCACAGGTGAGTGTCAGGAATAAAGGTGTTTCCAGATTGATCACAGGATCGAGGGTCAAGAACTAGAAGTGACCTGAGAGACCACCTAATTCACCCCCATTTATGGATGAAAAAACTGAGGCCCAGGGAAATGAAGGGACTTGCCCCAGGTCACACTGTTAGGAAGTGATAGAGTCACTCGTTTGAAAAAAAAAGTAAAGAAAGAGAGTCACTGAGCTGTTTTTAAAAGTGCAGAGAAGAGAACAGAACAACTGACAAGCAGGACAGCTTTGGAGATGATGTGCTGGATTTGTTATGCTTCTGAAGAGTAAAGGGAAGCTGTCTGTGATACAGATTCACGATGTTATGGACAGTCTTTTTTTCCTACTCTGCTTTGTGAATGGAAACGCTCTTCTTATTCGGTGTTAGCTAAGTTCAAAATAGAAAGAAAGACAGAGAGGAAGGAAGGAAGGAAGGAAGGAAGGAAGGAAGGAAGGAAGGACGGAAGGGAAGGAGGGAGGGAGGAAAGAAGGGAGGGAGGGAGAAAAGAAGGGAGGGAGGGAGGGAAGGAAGGGAGGGAGGAAGAAAGAAAAGAAAGAAAGGAGAGAGGAAAGAAGGGAAGGAGGGAGAGAGGGAGGGGGAGAGACAGAGAGAAAGAGAGAGAGAGAGAGAGAGAGAGAGAGAGAGAGAGAGAGAGAGAGAGAGAGAGAGAGAAGCCAGCTCAGTTCTCTTTATGACTTCAAGTGTAATTTTCTTCTTTTTCCATTTTATTTCGTTCTGCTTATCTTGATTTTCCCTCCCCACCCCTTCTTGGGGCCAGCCATTGCTTCCTTCATGTTCTACAATCTGAACTAAACCTGGCCTCACAGGCTGTTTCTTTTTCTCTCCATGGTCGCTTAGCTTTTGACATATTCTTCTGAAGACAAGCCTCAAATACTTTGAAATATGACGTTTATATTTTGGTTATGTTTTCACTACTCAGATGAGAATGGTGCAGATGTTCTCCCTGGCTCAGCTGTTGTTTAGAGATTGTTTTTACATATCCACAGCTCTCATGGGTTCAATTACCATCTCCACACCCATGGCTCTCAACTCCGCATATCCACACATAATCTCTTTTCTGAACACAAGCCCTCTGCCAACTGTTAGACGCTGACTGTTGGACAGCTCCTCCGAGGTGCCCCATCAGCATCTCAACCCCCTGATCCTATATTTCTATTGAGGGCACCACTATCCTCCTTCTTACTCACAGGTTCATAACCTGAGTCATCTTTAACTCTGCCTTCTCACCCTTTAGTTCTCATCACGAGATGAAAGAATTCTAGACTCAGAGTATTAAAAGAAAAAAAAAATAACGCCTCAGAGGCTATCTAATCCAATTACCTTATTTTACAGATAGGGGAACTGAAGCCCGGCGAAGTGATTAGTCCAAGCTCACATAAACAGGATGAAGCAGAGCTGGGATTTTTAAACCCAGACTCTCTAGCTCTCTTTCCACTGAACCAGTCAATGCTGGGTATTGATTTTATCACCAAGACCCCTCTCTGGTCTGGTTTCTCTCTACTCACGGAGCCGTCACAAGTTCAGGCCCTCCTCACTCATCTCCCTGATTCTGCTTTCTCCCCTTTTCAAAGTTTTCCACAACTTAGTTACAAACATGATCTCCTTAAGACACAAATCTAACCTCCTCACTCCTGTGCTCAAAGACCTTCAGGGATTCCCTATTATCTCCCAGATAAACTATGAAATCCTTCTTCTGGCATGTCAGACCTTTGCAGCCTGGCTACAACCCACCTTTCTAGGCCTGCTTCTGCTTATTACTCCTCTTCATAAAAAGCAGGATAGTATAGTGCATAGAGAGATAGCCTTGGAGCCAGATCGATCCAGGTTCAAGTCTCCCCTCTGACACATCCTGGTTGTGTGACCCTTGACAAGTCACTGAACTGCTCAGTGCTCTGAGAAACTTTCCACACCTACGGTGCTCCAGAGAATGTGCCAACTTGTTTGGTGTAGTGACTATCCTCACCAGAAGTTCTGTGACATGAAATCACAGGTCTAATACCCATGCCTTTCTCCCCCTCCCCCACCTCCTACACTCTATACTCCTACCAAAATGGCTTGCTTCTGTTCCCTGGAATGCCTTTCCTCCTCATCTTCACCTCCTAGAACCCTTGGCTTTCTTTAAGGTTCAACTCAGATGCTGCCTTCTAAGGAAAGCCTCTCCTGATCTCCAGGGGAACAGCGCAGGCTCCTCCCACAAACTCTCACCTCATAGATATCTTTGGACACATGGCATCCACCAGAAGATGGAACCTCCTGAAAGGAAGGGGCTATGTCATTTTTATCTTTGTATCACCAGCACCAAGTACATAGTATCTGCAGAATGGAACTGAATTACGAAACACCCCAGCTTTGAATTGTGTCCATATCATTTGCTTCTGACTTTATTGTAGTCCAATGCTTTGGCATGTCAATTTCTGCCTTTTTATGTACATAAAACCATTTATATATCATTTTAATATATTATGTATATATTGTTTTTATATAATATCTTTACATAAAAAATATTTATATATCATTTTATATATGTATGTAAATAATTTATATACCTTATAGAATATAATTCCATATAAATATTTCATATAATATATTTGTTGTAGTTTTACATACATTGTATAATATTCTATACATGTTTGTATACAAAATATTAATAGGATTTTATGTAATATAGTTATATATTAAATTCTGCATTATATTTTATATAATATGCCATACATAAAATGTATTTACATATTTATATAAAATGTCATGTTATATAAATATTTAATATATTGTACACTTTATATTATATATTAATATAATAAGTATTTATAGATAAATTGTATTTTATAAACTACTTTATATAGTATTTTTATGTAACATTTATATCTAAAATATTTATAGCATTTATATAAAATATTTATATGTTATATTTAGATGAACTATATTTTATAAATAATTTTCTACAATGCACTTGTATATAAAATTTGTATATAATGTATTTATATCTAAACTATTTTCCACTTTATTTTATATAATATATTTGCACATAAATATATTTTTATTATTCTGACTTTTTATATTTGCTGAAATCTTTCTTTACGTCCAGGCTAGGGAGAGTGATGAGTAATGTTTTGTTAATGCAAAGTTGATTAAACACCAAAAAAGGTTTTGTAACAAGTTAATTCAATTTAGATCTGGTGATGTTCATTTGGAAAAGATATAATACACCAGGGGATAAATGTACTGAGAAGGGAACTGGGTGGGAGAAGAGTGTCCATATAAAAGCAGGGGAAAGATAATGAGAAGCCCAGGAGTGAGGTATTAATGATGAGAAGGAAAATTCCAGCTGCCTTGGAGAAACTGAGTCAGAAAACATGGGTAGGCTTGGGGGGGGGAGGAAGGTTTCAATATAAACACCAAAGCCCAGGAACAGGAGCAGCTAGTGGAGCTGGAGGGAGGCTGTGGGCTCAGGGGAAGGGGGCTACGTCTGGAGGGCAAGCTGGGGAAGGCTTTTCAAAGCCTGGTTCTTGTTTCTATTGACGAGATCTGAGGGACAGGAGAGCTGGTCTGGGTGAGGTCCACACCTGCCTCTGAACCTGCCTCAAGGTTCCACATGTGGTGTTAGTGGGTAGGGCTGCTCCTTCCTCTGTTGTTCATAGACTGAAATCCCTCCGTGCCTCAATGCGTGCCTGCAATAATGTTGTGGAAAAGAAAAAAATCTATCGTCCCCTGGCCACTGGTAGTCCCTGCTCAGCATGACCAGGTCTGGGAAGACAGGTGTGCCATGGGGAAAAAACGTGGGGATTTAGAGTCAGAGGACCTGGTTTCAAGTCCTGACTCTGCTACTTATTCAGTAAGCCCGGGCAAGTAGACTAACATTTCTGGGCCTCAGTTTCCTCATCCATAAAATGAGCGGGTCAGAGTAGCTGGCCCCGGAGGTCCTTTTCAGCTAGCAGTCCTGTGACCCTTTAAGCCAGCTGGTCTAGAAGGTCTTTCCAGCACTTTCTGGGATGTGGCAGAGTTTGTGCTTGGTGTTAGAGAACTGAGAGTCTCTTGCATGCCTCCATGCCACCTAAGAGGAGGCCTGAGTGGAGGACAGAAGAACGTAGTGCAGTGATGTGACTGGCTTACCAAACTAGGGGACCCGCAGGCGATGCCATGAAGGGATCATTGCTTAGAGCCAGAAGCGCCCTGCATGTCATCAATCCAACCCTGGAGTTCTACCGAGGAAGAAACTGAGGCCCAGAGAAGTTAGAAGCTCTTAGGAGAGTCAGCCTGCTATAGCAGACAAACAGCGGGCCTCAGAGACAAGGAAGACCTGGGTTCAAGTCCAGACTCTGACACAGACTGGCTGTGTGGCCTCTCAATGCCCTAGGCAGCTCTTAAAGATGATTCATCACATAATAGTTACTGATTTGCATTAGGAAAGGATTTTCCTCACTGGACTGCAATCTACATCAATGAGATCACAGGTCCAGACCAAAAATAAATATGAATATACAAATATACATATGTTTTTACATCACTGTCATTTCCAAATCTATCTCTCTTCCCTCCCCTACCCAGTGAGCCAGTTCTAGTAACAGAAAGGAAGGAAGGAAGGAAGGAAGGAAGGAAGGAAGGAAGGAAGGAAGGAAAGGAAGGAAGGAAGGGAGTAAAGGAAACCAGTCAGCATATCCGGTGTGTCTGATAGAGCATGCAATATTCCACCCCACTTCTGTAAAGAAGGCAGCAAGGTGCATTTTTGGTGACTTTTCTGGGGGCCAATTTGATCATTCTCAGTTTGAAGGCTCAGTGGATAAAGACACAGGTCTTCAGAGTACAGGAGGGAGGGAAGGAGGGAGCTGACTTCAGAATCAGGAGAGGACTCTAGTTCAAAAACTAACCTCCAAGACTTATAATATCAGACATCTAGAGTTGGAAAGGGCCTCAGAGCCCATGCAATCCAAACTCTTTATTTTATAGATGAGGAAACTGAAACCAAGAGTGATTTAGTGACTTACCCAAAGTCCCGGAGTGGCCCAGATGTCAAAGACGGGATTTGAATCCAGGATATGTGACTCCAAATCCAGCACCCTTTCCAATGTACCACTCTGTCACCATCTCTGGGCCTCAGTTTCCTCATCTGTAAAATGGAAAGATGTTGTGGCAATCAAATGAAATGTCTGTAAAGCCCAGGGCTTATTTAAATGTTAGTTAGTATTATTGCTGCCCATCACCTGCTTTCCTCTCCAGGTGCCCCCAGATAATGCTCTGGAGGATTTTCAAAGGGAAAAGGGGAGGTCTATGTGTTAGAAGAATGGGGAATGGAGACAAGTCAGGCAGTTTGATTCCACAGTGCAAGAAGGAAACATACCCCATCTAGGAGAATCAGAAGGTTCCCAGCGGCAGGCAGGGCAACCTTGTCAACTTCCTCCCTGTTCTGCCTATTAAATCCAAATGAAAAGACACCCAGAGGGCATTAGATCAACCCACAGTTTGCCTCCCTAAGCCTGGATGAGCTGGGCAGCCCCTGAGATCTCCCCACTGTCCAGCAGTGCCCCCTGCTGTCCAGCTGAGGATTTGTACCTTCTGGCCCTATCCACCTGTGCCATCCTGAGTGCCCAGTATCATTCCAAGTTCTAGTTGCAGTGGGGAGGGGAGAAGCCTCCTCCAACTACCCCCTCCCCCAGGAATTTGCCCAAGTGACCTCCCTGGGCTTGTCCCCATGGCAACCAGGGCCCCAGAGCCCCAGGGGCCAGTCTGTCTGCCGCAGAACAAGCAGCCCGATTGTCCCAGCTCAGTCGGGCAGGTGAAACCCAGGCCCACGTGACCGATACTGGGACAGGTGCAAGATACTTGACACCGGCCTACTCCCAGCTCCCTCCCCTTACCCCCTTCATCCTCCTTCCCTGATCCCTAGCCAGCCAGTCACAGCATAGAGCCTGGTCCTAAGGCCACTGAGCATGCCCTCCAAGACACCTGTAGGGACAGCAGCAATAGCACTCAGTGTGCGTGTGTGTGTGTGTGTGTGTGTGTGTGTGTGTGTGTGTGTGTGCGCGCGCACGCGCGCGGTGTGTGTGTCCTGTAGGATTCCCCCCCTGGAAACCCTCTAAACCATGCCCCCATCCCCAAATCTTCATAATGATGCCTTCCACTGGTACCAAATAACTAAAGCCTGGAGTCATTTCCAGATCCATTTTAATACAAATTGAACAGAATGGCACTATGTGACCCTGGGCCAGTCACTTCCGCAAATGTGTAAAATGAGGCTAATAGTCCCTGGGGTTGGGACCTACCTCCCTAGATTATTATGAGGCTTAAAAGAGACCTGCCTACAAAACGCTTTCCAAACCTTCAAATATGTAGCTACAGAAATGGGGAGGGGCCGTATCATTATCTCATTTCATGTTCACAGTACCCTTGGGCTATTATTAATCTGCCTTTTACAGATGAAGAAACAGGCTGAAGCTCTTCACAACCTGGCTCCTTCTTAGTTGTCTGGTCTCCTTCACCTGCTCCCGGATCCAGACGCACCAGGTGGCCCGCTGGTCCTCAGAAACGATGCTCCTTTATACTCCCCAGACTTGGAATGTTCTGCCTCACCTCTGCCTTTTAGACTTCCTTCCTTCTAGTTCCATTTGTAAGACTCGGCTCACATCTTCCTACTGGTGCAGTGGATAGGGCCTGGAGACAGGAAGACCCGAGTTCAAATCAGTTCTCGGACACTTCCTAGTTGTGTGACCCTGGGTGAGTCACTTCACCCTGTTTGCCTCAGTTTCCTCATCTGTAAAATGGGCTAGAGAAGGAAATGGCAAACCACTCCAGCATCTCTGCTAAGAAAACCCCGAATGGGGTCACCAAGAATCAGCCACAACTGAAAAATGACTAAATACATTTTATTTATTTATTTTGTAAATACCATACATATACTTATTCGGCAGTTGTGGCGGCTTGGTGCCTGAGCAGTCAGACAGAACTGCCTGTCACTTTTACTCACCCTTATCTTTTTGTGGAGGCAGCTAGGTAGCTCAGTGGATGGAGCACTGGCCCATGGTAAGTCACTTAACACTGTTTGCCTCAGTTTCCTCATCTGTAAATTGAGTTAGAGAAGGAAATGGCAAACTACTCCAATATCTCTGCCAAGGAAACTCCCAAATGGGGTCCTGAAGAGTCAGACACAACTGAACATATCTTACTTTCTGCCAAAGCCCTTTCCTAGTCCCCAAAGCTGTTAGTTCCTTCCCTTTTGAGATTATCTTCTATTTACTCTGTACATATATATATACACATACACATATATATATATATTATATATATATATACACACACACATATACATATATATATATAGTTGTTTACATGTTGTCTCCATCATTAAAATGTTAGCTTCTTGAGGGCAGAGACCATGTTTTTGCCTTTGTGTCTGAAGCCTTAGTACAAGGTAAATAATGCTTATTGACTGACTGGCCAACCTTGCAGGGTCACACAGCTAGTAAGAACTTGAGGTGAGATTCAAACCCAGGTCTTCCAGACTCCACATGGAATATTCTATCCACTCTATGATGCTGCCTCTTCTCTTAATGTAAAGGAAGTGTTTTACAAGCCTTCTCTGATACTTCGAGGAACTGTCTTGTCTGGGTACTTCCCCTCTGCCTACACAGATCAGAGACCGGAGAGTGGGGGGAGAAAGTGACTCTGGAGTGAGAAGTCATAGGTTCAAATTCCATGGATAAATGGGGTTTTGCAGATAATCAGCAGAGAGAAGAGGCATTAACTCAGCCTCAGCACGATTCCTAGAAAACAGTAAGTTCTTAATAAATGCCTGCTCACTGACTGTTGAGATGTGGGCCACTGAGCTGACTTCCAACTCAGATTCTGTCATGGTGCACTGAGGTGAGCCACGGGGCCAGAAGAGCTGCAAAGGAGCCAGGATCGTGGAGGTGGTGGTTAGCAGGGAACACTTTGAAGGTAAGGACGCCCTCTAGTGGTGAAGATTGCCATCGCTCCTCCCCTTCTCATCCTGTCCCATTCTTGTGCCTTTCTCCCGAGGGTCCTTTAGCTTGAGGCATCTGCCTTCCTATACTCCGCTGTCCATCAAATATTCCATCTCCGTCCCTGCACTCACCTTTGCCCTTGTTGTCCGCCGCACCTGGAATACACTCCATCCTCAGGTCCACTTCTTAGGATCTCCAAGTCCCTTCAAAGCTCAGCTCAAGGGCAAAGCTCCTGCATGAAGCCTTTCCTGATGCCCACCCCCACCGCAAGGCTCGCAACTATCTATTCTGTATATAGTTAATGCGTGCAGTGGTATCTCCCCCTGTTGGAATAAAGCTCTTTGAAGGGAGGAATTGTGTTACTCTGGTGTTTCTATCCCCAACTTAGCAGAATGTCTGGTACTTAATTCTCATCAGTGATGATGAAATGATTGACCATGATTTTCATTTTCACTTTTATATAGGGATAGGGACTGAACCTTTGATTTCTCTTGCATAAATTTCCTCTCCCAATGCTAATCAGCATTTCTCTGTAATTTCTGCTCTTTAACTGGTAGGTTATTGGATTTGCTCATGGTTACACAGTCAAGTATGTCAGAAGTGGGACTGGAACACAGGCCCACTATATCATTCACATGAAAGAAAAAATGCTATACACTGTATTTTAGACAAGCATTCCTGCTGGGAGGCAAGGAGGGAAGAAGAGAGAGGGGGAGATAGACAAATAGACCAGGGAGGGAGAGAAGGATAGAGAGAGAAGAGGAGAGAAAGGAGAGAGAAAGAGAGAGATGGGAGAAGGGAGAGAGAAAGAGGAGAGGGGAAAGGGAGAAAGAGGGAGAGAAAGAAGTGGGGGGAGAGAGGGAGAAAATGAGGAGACAGAGACAGACAAAAATGGAGAGGGAGAGAGATAGAGAGATGGGGAGGGAAGAGAGAAAGAGGAAAGGGGAAAGAGAGGGAGAGAAAGAAGTTGGGGGAGAGAGGGAAAAAATGAGGAGATAGACAAAAATAGAGGAGAGAGACAGAGAGAGATGGAGAAGGAAAGAAGGAGAGAAAAAGAGAGATATGGGGAGGGACAGAGAGAAGAAAGAGGAGAGAGAGAAAGAGAGAGAGAAAGAAATAAAGGGAGAGGAGAGAGATAGAGGAGGAAAGAAGAGGAAGGGGGTAAGGGAGAGGGAAAGGAAAAGGGAGAAGGAGAGGGATGGGGGAGAGAGAGAGAGAGAGAGAGAGAGAGAGAGAGAGAGAGAGAGAGAGAGAGAGAGAGAGAGAGAGAGAGAGATCAGGAGAAACAGAAACAGAGAATTAAACAGGCAAAATTTCCCCTGACAACCAGAATTCTCTCTGACCCAAGCAGATGGCATACATTTTTTCCTCAGCAACATAAAACAGGCATATGGTTTTCATTTAGGGTTTTTTGTTTACCAAGCAGCACAAACAGAGCAATAGTAACGTTAATATTGGTGGCACGTGCTTGGAGGTGATCTGTCGTCTGGGAAACCCAAAGGCCCATCAATTTCCAGGGTAAACAAAAGCCTCCCCTCTCTTGAATGAGTCAGACAATAAACTTCAGTTAACCAAGGGATGTTCCCTATGTTTGACCACCCCTCTCTGGTCTCTTTGGTACTGGGTGAACTGGGTACATAAGACCTTTCTTGATAAGAAGCACACAGCCTGTCTTGGTGTGGGTCCTGATTCTAGGGAATTAGGAGAACTCCAGAGGCTGAGCGGCACTGTCTATGGAGGCTTTGGCACTATGATGCTTCCACTCCTCCTCACAGATGCCAGGCTAGCATAGGATGGATTGTTCAGTTCATCCCATTTCCCTTAAAAAAAAATTCAAGGGTTTGTTTTTGAACTCCCTGTGTTTGCTTCATAAATGCCTTTGAAATTCTTCCAGAGCCAAGGACCTCTTTTTTGAAAGTCGATGATGTAACTGGAGGCCCCCCAGGACAACACTAGGTCAGGGCAAACCCAGAAGCAGCCCTTGCCTCCGTTGTTTGCCGTGTGTGTGTGTGTGTGTGTGTGTGTGTGTGTGTGTGTGTGTGTGTGTGTGTAATGTGGCACCCTCCAGCTTGGGCTGTTCTGGGATCTTGCTATCATTGCCATCAGAGTCTTGTTATCAACTTTTGTTATAAGAACAGGTTGTTAATGCTTTGGTTTCTTTGTGTCTTCCTGTGTCTGATTTGGCTCCATTACCTACAGCGGGTACGATTCCCACTCCTACTCCCACCCTCAAACTCACAATATCTTTCTTTGGAAAAATAAAAATAAAGACCTGAGCATGGAGGTCTGACCCCAGCTGTTTTACAGAGACCCTGCTAAGGCAGGTCAACGCTGCAGCTGTTGGTGCATCAGACATCCTGAGGTACATTCAATAACTTACTCTAGACCCACTACCAGAGGCCACCTTGGACGAGGCCCTGGAGTCCCAGCTCATGCAGACATGGGAGAGCTAGAAGGGCCATGTGGCTCATCCTCTTCATCTTGCAGGTGGGGAAACTGAGGCTCAGGGCACTTAACAACTTGCCATCTCAAAACTCAAAAGGCTCAAAATGGAGCTTATTATCTTTCCCCCAAAC